TCAAATAGTGTTTGCACCATCTTTGTTAGATATTAAGACCAGGCAAAATTAATATTTCATTTTCCATCAGCCCCCCCTCAAATGTTTGAGGTGGCTTTGGTGTAGAAGGTAAAAGCTACAAAGGGTCAAGACTAATGATGGGGAGCTTTTTTTTAAACTTTTTTTTTTTTTTTTTTTTTTGGCTTCAGCGATATTTTAGCAAACCATCTTCATTGGTCATCTTTAGACTGTTCTAACATGCAAATCAAGCTTAGGTTTTCACCTAGAAAGCCTTAGGAGTTTTGGTTGGGCTCTTTGTGCATGACTCTAAGGTCTGGAGTGAATCAATCCAGCTGTTTAATTAAAAGGTGGCTCAGATGGTCCGAAGAGTACAGCTCAGGCCCCAGCACAGCCCTGAACAGGAGGCGGCAGCCAGGCACCCGCGCTCTCACCCTCGCACCAGACCGTTAAAGCTACCCAAGTCACCGCAGGGAGATCAGCCACCTCTGCCCACAGCAGAGGGGCGGTTCGGAGTTGTGCGTACTCTTCCATGTCAGCAGCCGCAAAGCCTCACAGAAGCTGCGTGTCAATAGCTCTTTGGTGTCTTCTGTGATCTTTGTGGCTCCTGCTAGTCCCCAGATGCACAGAGCTGGGCTTTGGGGTTTTTTTCCAGGTATTTGTTTTTGGAGGTTTTGCAGTAAAGGACTGGAAAACAGCTCAGCCCAGCTCCCCATGGCTAACGTTAAGGAGATGTGCTGGGTACAGCAGCTCCTACCATCTTCTGACAACATCCTTCTCTAACTCTAGAGCTTATTGCATTTCTCTCTACCCTCTTGGTACCCTCAGACTCCTCTGAGGAAGAGGTAGGCTGGAATGCCTCCACAATAGTGCCTGGGTCTCACTCCCAGCAACATCTCTTATGGGTTGAAGACAAAAAAAAAAAAATCTGCGTGCCATATTTCTAATTGCCCTCCCTCTCCCCACCCACCCCGAGCAGTGCTGGAATGCAGGCTGGGACACAGATCTCCCCTCCCAAGCTGGGGAACGCTGCGTAGCCTTCAGAGACAAACCAACGGAAAAAGCAAAGATTAATTTTGACTGGCCCCTAGATCTGTTGAGGTCTGAAACTGTAAAAGTTTATGTAAACAATGAGATAAATATATTAGTACTTTTCTGAGCCAAGTGAGGTTCCATACTCATTCAAATGTGCTTTGGTTTAAAAAATAGTTTTGTGAATTTGGGTATGAGCTTCTTTATTCTTTTATACAACTTTTGCTATTTTATCTTTTTTTTTTTCCTGTTATTCCGAAAACATTCTGGAACTAAGTGACTAAAGCATATACTTAAGCTGCCTGGCCTCTTTTTTTTTTCTTTTTGTTTTTTTTTTTTGTTTGTTTTTAAATTGTTTTATTCCTCTTGAGGCTCTTTGTGTATTTAAAAAAAAAAATTAAAATAAAATAAAAAAAACCAAAAATGCAACTCCCTCCCCCCCACCCTAAAACTCTTAAAATCTTAAATATGAAACTAGTGTTTTGCTTTCTCATTAAAATACAGAAAAATGTTTGATACAATACTATGTCGTACAAATGCAGTTGAGTGTTTAGGCCCCAAGCAGGCCTGAAACAGTCCCTGAAGTTTTGAGTATTATTAGTTATTCATTATTACTGTCACAATTTGGAAAATGTTGTTTATACTCAATCTATGGAACACAACTTTACACAGCTACTTGAAAAAAGAACAAAATTTCCTTTTGTACAATACTCTTGCTGTACACAGACTTTATGTCGTATTGTTTAAGTGCTGGGGAGGGGATAAAGTAAAAAAAAAAAAGACGCTCCGAAAAAAATTTTTAAAAATAGCATTGGGTCCTGAAACTTCAACATGATTCTCAAGGCTTAAGAAACAGATGAAGAGGGGGCCTGGGGAGGGAGAGGCTACATCACCCACACACATGCTTGTAAAAATGGAATTAAGTGAGGGGGAGCAGGTTATTTGCCTGCTGAGGAGCTCACTGCTTCCTTGTGCCTTGGGCTGCTCCATGGCTTGGCTCAGTCGGTCACAGCTTGAGCTGTTGTCCCAGGGTGGCTTCTGCACAGACACCCACTGCTGTCCCCATCGCTGGCCGCCTGCCGCAGTGGTGGCGGACCCATCTCGGCAAACTGCAGGGCCACAAGCAAATGGGGGAAACCCGCATCCAAAACCCACAGCGGGGGACAGGGCTCATCCCTGGCCGTGCCCTTCTTGCTAAGGGAGCTAAAAATTGTTTTGAAAATCTGGACTTGATGGGTCTTTAGCCAGCTGGCAGCAAGGGGAGCCTGCTCTGGCTGCAGCCTAAGCCAGTATGGGATTCAGCTCAGCTTTAGGATGGTTGGAGCGAAGGTAAAGGCAGGGTGAAAGTGCCTAGGAACTAATCTTGCACGGCTGTCCCTGGGCCCTGCTGAGACTTGCTCTGAGAAAAAGGTAGATGGCAAGGCCTTTCCTGTCCTCCCCAAAGACTACTTTGGGGACCTTCTCAGGGGGATTTGGCAAGGGATCAAGGAGAAAATAATTCAATATATATTCAAAATGTGGAAGTGCTAAAGACACTAAAAACCCACCTAACCCTCCCAAGAGAAAACAGCGCATCTCAGCACAATTAGAAAAAAACAAAAGTCCATGCTCCCATCTCATGCTCCACAGCTCACAGGCATCCGGGAGCGAGCAGACAATGGCACTGGGAGAAGCACACTGGAGCGCAGTGGGCGAGAGGGGCAAGCGTGTTCCCTGTAATGTGACACCAGGCCAAGGCTCAGCGCCTTTGGGTTGTCTATTGCTTGGAGCCTGGATTCCAGTTTCCTCAGTTCATACAATTGACCCAAAAACTTCTTATGGACTAGTCTACCTTAACAAAACAAAACAAAACAAAACAAAACAAAACAAAAAAACAACAAAAAAACAACCAAACAAACAAAAAAAACCCAATAGAAAATGAAGCTTATATTTCTTTGTTGTAGTCAAACATGCTCACATTTTTCTTTTTTTTTTCTTTTTTCTTTTTTGGTCGAAACTTAAAAAAATTGGGTTTGTTTTTTTTTTAAAAAAGACAAAACGTGAGGTTTGGTAAACCTTACGCATAGAGACTATACTGGTTTGAGTGGAAAAAAAAATCAAATGAAAAAACACAAGTGTAAACCTTACTCAATTCAGAAGGGATGATTCTACTGGCTGTGAATTTTTACCACCACAGTCACGGGAGGCTTGAAATAAGCCATAGCTTTCCACAAGGTCACGCCAACAAAGTCAAGGGGGCCAAGAATCGGTGGGCTAAGTTCTCTGTCTTCTCTCCTAAACCAATAGCAGCTGTTGGCTGTGATGTCTTATGCAGATGTTGCAAGAACATTTTGTTTCTTTTTCTTTTCATTTTTCTTTTTTTTTTGTGTGCGTGTGTTAAATTGTCTAAAAGGGAGGATATGAAACACTTTGGTTTGCTTTTTCCTCCTCTCCCCCACCTTATTGCACTCTGGATTCTAGTAAATTATAGGCTGCTATGCCCTCACCCTCTGTCCTGCCAGGTGTTTACAGACTGACCCAGATGTGCTGGGGGAGTGGAAGATGAGGGGGACATTTTCCGCTCCCCTTAGTATCCAGATTCAATAAACAAAGCTGGAATGGGCCCAAAAAGCTCAGAGAAGTTTTCTTCTTTTATCTAAAAGTGACTACAAACAGCCAAGAGACTGCGAATGAGCCAGTCCAAGCAGCCAGCACAGCCTCTGGCTCAACGTATTTTTTGCTTTGTCTTTGGCCAAGCTTTGCTTTAACATTTCTCTAGCTGACTTTTGATGGAAGGACAGGGTGGTAAAAATCCCTTAACTTTAATTTAGCTTCTACTTTTATACATTTAATTACTTACAATAAGAGAAAAAAATGCCTAATCTTTCACTAACCATCTTATTGTTCTCATGAATTCAAGAGGTAGCAAAGGTAACAAGTCTGTCCACACAGACTCGCTCTTTAGTGAGGGAGGAAAGCTAAAAACATACACACACACAAAAAATAAAATAAAAAATAATAAAAAAAGTACCTAAGGAACTTGTAGCAAGTCCAGCCTACATCAAACCCCCTCCCCACCCACCCACCCTAGAATTAACCTCAGACCTTCCAGTTCAAACATTCACATAAACGTTACAATGGTTTTTCCTTTAATAAAACAAGTACCTCTAAGCAAAGAATATTCATACGAAACTACTAGAAAAGTAAAGACGACCCCCTGCTCACTGAAAGAAATTCCCAGGGCATCCGGTCCCTGTTCAGTCATGGGTAAGGCAGAAGAGGTTTGTGTGTTTTGTGGCAAAAGGTGGCATGTGGTTACATGTGCCAAGGATAAAGATCAAAACCAAAAGAGGAAGGGATGGCGAGGGAGGCATCGCCATTTCTTTACGTGAAGTACTTGGGCTGGTGCACACCTGGGTAGACTGCTCTCCCCACCATCGCCAGCCCAGGGGAACGGTGGTGGGTTCCACCACTGCTATGGCTTTCCCACAGTATCTGAAGGGGATGCCAACCCTGTGAGATGGTCCACAGACACAGCTTCTGCGCTTGTGAATGCAATGCTACGTTATTTCACAGCTACTTAGGCCACTGAAAAGGTGTACTTTATTTTCTTTTTAGTGGCAAGAAATGCCCCTACTGAGTTTGGTTTTAAGAGAGGAGGTGAGTAGGGTGACAGTAACATGAAGGGAAGAGGCAGGGAGGGGTGAGCCAGCAGAGGCTCAAAGTTCCCCATGGTCCCCCTACCTGCTCCAGATAATCAATACGGCAATGAAGTCGACATGCGCAAAAAGAAGTGGCATTTCTTGCCTGATCACCAAGATTTGGAGGGAGAGTTGGACTAAAGGCATCAGCTTGGCTGTGGACCTTTCTTTTTTTAAAAAAAGGGAAAAAAGGAACTTTTTTTTTTTAAATGTTAAAGCTACATTTGTTTAGGCCTCCCATGACTGAACAGAGTATGGGGAGTTGCCCCCTTTTTTGTCTGTTTTTTTCTTTTTTTTTTTAAGCAGCAAGTCTACAGAAAGGTAAATCACTGCGGATGGGCTCGAAGCTCATTCTGGAGTCTTTGGCTTATGTGGGAGAGGTATGCATTCGCAGGTGGCTGATCAGATTGCGCTGCTGGGTGAATTTCCCACCACACAGTTGACATTCGTAAGGTTTTTCTCCTGAGTGGACACGCATATGCTCTGTCAGTCGGTACTGCCGGGTAAAGCGCATCCCGCATTCCTCGCAAGCAAAGGGCTTGAGCCCTAAGTGGCTGCGCATGTGCCGTGTCATGGTGCCCCGCTGCGTGAACATCTTGCCGCAGATATTGCAAGGGAAGGGCCGAGTCAGCCAGTGAGTCTTCTCATGCTGCCGCAGCGTGGCTGGATCCTTGTAGCTCTTCTCACACACTGAACACTTGAAGGGTCGGGACTCCGCGGCATAGGACTGGTTGGGGTTGGACAAATCCTCAGCTTCATCCTTGCCACTGTATGTGCCTTCCTCCTTGATGTAAAGGTCTTCCTCGGTGTGCGTCTCCACGTGGGCATTGAGCTGCTCGGAGCTGGGGAAGCCTTTGCCACAGGGGATACAGACATACAGGTTGTCACCGTAGGCTACTGGCTCAAACCCCTCCTGCCGGTAGACGTAGTTGGCACTAGTATGCCCGCCGCTCTCACTCTCGCTCTGGCCGCTGTCATCACTGTTCTCCTTACCGTTTTCCACCTCCTCCTTACACGGGTAGGGTAGGTCTGCGCTGTAGGCCCCGGCCAGACTCCGCTCCACAGACTTGGACAAGGGCCCCAGCAGGATACCGTTGGGCAGCCCTTCACCCTCGTCCCTGTCTTTGCCCCCCTCCTTTCGGTCAAAGGCGTTGTCTTTCTTGATCCACTCCTTCTTGCGGGACGAGTGCCGGAGGCCCTTGCGCTGGCTGCTCTCTGTCAATGAGTGGTGGCACTCTTCGCTCAGATCCATCTCCATGGGGTCACTGCTGTCCGCCATGCTGTGAGGGGCTCCGACTCCAGACTCGTCGAACGATGAGGCACTGTTGGCTGCGGGGGCTGAGGCAGATTGGGGAGAGCCATGCTGGCTTTCACTGTGCTGCGTGTCATCGTGGGAGGCTGCAACAGGGAGTGACGGGCTTTTTTTGGACAGGTCAAGGCCTAGCTCCTGGTCGCCGGTGCTTCCATTTGCACTGCTGCCCCCACCGCCGTTCTTACTGGCTCCCCTGCTTAAGGAGTGACAGTTCTCTTGGTTGGAGCTGCTGATGAAGACCTCGTCATCGGAGAGCTTTCCCTTTGACAGCTCCTTTGAGTGCGAGCCCTTCAGCCCCTCATTTGACCCTGAATAGCGAGCTTGGATGACCGAAGCAGTGGAAAGTCTCTGACTCCTGGCAGATCTCCCGACACCAAGGCCACCGGCCTTGCCAGCAAAGGACTTGCCGTTCCGCTTCAGCTTCTTTCTGCAGAGAGCTGCCAGGTCGTGCAGTTGGAGGTAGCTTGCTGCGGTGAGGAGAGCATTAAAGTTCTGTTCACCGGGCTGGTCAGTCGTTAAGAGCTTACCAGTATAAATAAAGTCCAAGATCTGCCGGAACACGGTGGGGTTCACCATGTCCGTATCTAAGTTAATCAGGTTGTCATGCAGGACAAGGGATTTGAAATACATGCTGCTGGCTGCCAGGATGTTCTTATGGGCACGAAACAGGGCATTTTCTACCACAATGATCACATCACAGAGGAAACCTTTGGCTCGTTGCTGGTTCAGCTGCAGTAGCAGTTGTTTGGCATGATTTGGCAGTTCCATCTCCACCTTCTCTTCCTTTCACCTTCACCTTACCACCTGCAAAACAGGAAGATGAGAGGTGTGAACCTGCTGTTTCCACTTGAACAAGTCTACATTTAACAGACTGGCTTAACACGCTCTAGTCTATGTTAGGCTTGACACTGACTAAGGATCTCTGGGTACATTCAGCCCTGCAAGCTGTGATCCTGCTTGGAATACAGAGAGAAGTATTTCTCATGCTAAGATTTGATTCAAGTCTTTCAAAAATCAGATTTGTAAATATCTTTTTACAAAAGCAATCGTTGTTGGCTGGAGTTACTACTAAAAAGATACCAGCAGGAAAACAGTATTTAGGTACAGGGGAAAGCTGTTTCCCTCTCCTGACACAAATATGAAGGGAGGATGAGGAGCAAGAAAAAAAGGAAGAAAAAAGAAGCATCTACTTCACTTCCATTTGCATATCTGAGCATGTAAAATAATTAGCATAAGCTGCAGCTTCCCTGCTTTAACATGTAGTTTGTTTCCTGGCTCTTACATGTTGAAGTCCTACAACACCCAGCTGCTCTGGGGTTGAGAAAATGACATGTAGCAACTAAATCCATTGAAGATGGCATTAATCACACTGAGGTGTGAATGGGAAATCTCCTTAAGAGTAGGAAAGGCTGCTTTAAAAACCAACCCCCCTGGCAATGTCCATATCCCAATCCATTGACATGAAGGGCTAGAATCAACCCTGAACTCGCTGAAATTCGGGATGCTGAGCTAGCAAAATGCCAGCAAATGTCTTCAACAATTGGAAACTGTTTTCTTAAGTTAATTCTGCCCTGCCTTTAGTTTTGAAGGAATTTTGTTTAAAATGATAGAGTCAAGTAACCTATCTCAAGCCAGTCTCTCTACCCTGAAGTACCGGGAAGAGAAGAAAATTGTGGTTACCTCTGTGTAGTTCATGTATTTCACAAACAGTATTCACTATGTATTTTAGTTTAGATATTTATATTGGTTTTCCCAGTAGTGTGGGCTGTAGGAAATATCTAGTTTGAGGCATATCAGAACTCATTGCGATTACATGTTTGGTAGATACTACAATACATAAAAGCTAGAATTTAAATCTGGGGCTGTATTCAGGAATCCAAGATCAATTTTTTAACTTTTTTTCTTGATTTTTTTATTTGAAAGTGCCAACTACTACTTGTAATGGGCATTTATCTGTTAGAGTTGATTTAAAATAAATTCTGAGGTTCAAATGTAGGAATTAAATACCAAACATACAACAGACACCTTTAGCCTTCCACTTCCTTCCTTCCTGTCCCAGTTCATCATATTACTGAAACAGATTTCTCTTACTGAAGGAGGAACAGGCCATAAGTTCATAGAAATGAAGAGCTTAAATTTTCTTTTGAAATCATCATCAGTTAATGCTTTTATTGCTTGTGAATCCCATTACCACATTCTGTCCCATCAGATTTCAAATGATGAAGCATTAGACTGCATTGTTTTCCCTCTGTGTTAAGTATGTGTACACAAGAAAAAGAAATAAGGAGTGATACTGTCAATATTAAAAATAACCTCCCTCAAACCTGGTTCTCACTAACTGGTGACAAATAGATTTAATTTGGCAGAAAGGTGGTAAATTTACATCATCTGTTTCTGCATAACAAAAAGATTTTGCTTTATGAAAAAAGCTACCAAAAAGTAAACTAATGCAATTCTTCCTCCAATGTTGCTGCCTGACTAGCCTGGTACTTATACTTTTACCAACAGATCTGCCAAGCAGGTACCTCCCTTCTTCCACAGGACACATTTCTTCACTTGGTTAGCTGGTCAGCCTGGTACTTGGTTATGCATTTGGTAGAATTTTGTGGCCCCTGTTCAGTGCACCAGCACCTAATTCAGAATCTACACAGATCTCAGTGGCTGATCACCTTGACCCACAGCTAAAATGGCTGCTCTGCTTTTCTGTTCTGTATTGTTTCGGCAATGGATGGGAACCCAAGATGACAGTGGATTCACAACTGTGCATTCTTGCACATTAATGTTGTTCCCAGTGGTGGCTGCCTTTAGAAAGGATGGCAGCCAAAAGGAGAAAAGACAGGCTTGCTGTGGTGCTAGCCAGTTATTTCTTCTCCATCTATAGTGTTTCTGTCATAGAAACTCAGCCTGCAGCATCACAAAAACGTGATAGAGACAGGGATTACCACCACTGAACAGTGTTGAGCACTTTAAAAACAAGTTTTGCTGTAATTAGTTACATCAGAGTTGCAGCACGCAGGCAATGTGTCTGGTTCTAGTGGCTTGCTTCCAGAATTGCTGATTAAGGGGAAGAAGCAACAGCACAGAGGCACCAAATACCCACTTTTATCTAGCCAGGCCAGTAAAAGCACTTACTTCTGGGTCACCGAGATATATTGATAGGGAAGGACAAAAACATGGCTTGCAACATAACACAGCATCTATGTGTATAAATGCATCCTGCTCAAGAATAGCAAGAGACAGCCTACTACTACCCTATTTCCACTACAAACATAATGATGCTTTTCCATGCATGTAACACACAAAATCCCTCGATAAGATTTTTAAGTGTTCCATAAAGGACAAATATGGGAAAAGAAAGGAAACAGCACAGCCAATGTTTTTTGCCTAAACAGACTAATAAAAAGAAGTAAAAGCGAGCTTATTTCCCATTCATGTGGTGCTTGAAGCAGAGGTCTAGAAATCTTTGTATACGTGTTTGTCTAAGCCTTTGCAAAGAGTCAAGGCTTGCTGCAACTACTAATGGGAAATATTTTTAAGTTTTTACTTCTTTTTTTTTCTTTCTGCCTTAAATGATACTGAAACCAGGTAATGAGCCTGCAGGGAAAGCCCTGGAAACAGGGGTAGAATTATAGTTCTGCTTTTTACTGACCTTCATGAGGAAGATAATGTTATTATTAAACCTCAGTATATTCTGCAGCGTAAAAATTAGCATAGTACAAGTTATTTAAATAACATCTATTTATCTCACATGTCAAATTTTACAGAAGTATTCATGTTCAGTAGGGCATAAGTATGAGGTAGGTTTTTACCTTTAGTAGATTTTAAAAGCAGTGGTCAGGTTTAAGCACTATAACACTGCCTATCAAATCTGAATTTGTTAGCTGAAGTCTAACCTGGATTTAGCAACCCCAACAAAATGAATGTAATGGAACAAGGCAGCAAAACCTTCAGCCAAGTTTAGAGCCCCATGTTTAAAATTTTGCCAGAATTGCCCACCCAGGGCTTTTACCAGGACAGCAACATGGGTCAGAGAACACAGTTTTGACTGACATACCTTTGTTGACAAAAGCTTTATAGCATCAACCTGGCTTGTGTATCTTGTGCAGTCCTGAACAAAAATAAATCCATTCCAGATATTTTCCAGAGCTGACCAGTTACAAACCCTTCTTTAGCAATGATGCATTTCAGAGGTGGGGGAAGAGGGGTGCATTGGAAAACTTGTTAGCAAAAGAGAAGCAGGCATTATTCCTTAATCTATGGCATTCCTAAGATCTCACTTCTAGCTGAAAGCATGGGACCAAAGACAGCTATGAGGTTAAGTCCGGTATAAAAGTTAGCAGATCTTCCCAAACAAATGGCAGGTGCAGCCTTACAAAGGCCCTGCTATCCATTAGTTTGCAGAGACTGGCTTTTAACAAACCCTGAACATTTGGATAACACCACCACCACCAATTACGACAATAAAAGCCCCCAAAAGCCCTGAAAAATCACAGTGGTTTATATTTCTTGTATCTCAGTATCATTTTTAAGAACCCTTCCTTTTCTGTTTTCTGCAACATGATAAAAAAAATGTACTCCCAGTTCAGAGGAGCCCTGGCTCAGAAAAGGCTCAGATGCATTTCTAGTAAAAAAACCAAACCCCTCAAGAATGTGTAGATGTCTCACTGGGGCTACAGTCTTTTATCATGGAATTTGGTGTGCAAAATTTCACTCCTTTGCATTTAAAACAGGATCACAGAAGACTTTGGACATTAGAGATGGTCTTTTTTCAGATTCAGGTTGTTTCCTAGTCATTCAAGACAAAGTTTTCAGAGCAATGAACCTGCTCAAATGTTCATGTGCAAGTAGGGAATGAAACAAGGCTGAGGCTCTCCACTACCTCCACCATATCCATGACACTGAGACACAGCACATGCAAAGACATGAAAAATACAGGGCACAAATCACAGAATACAGTAATGCTGCAAGCAGATGCCACACATCAAACAAAGCTTCGCAAGCTAAGAGCCAATAGCGTCTTCATAAGCAGTATTGCCCAAGGAGCTGGGTAACTGCGAGCTGCTGTGCCCAGCCTGGGGCACACTGTGATCCCGTGGGCATGAAGATTGTGCAGAACACACAGACTGCTCCAGGAGCTGTGCTGCTCTCACTACAAAGCAGGAAAAACTTAATTTTCTCTCAATTTCCACAAAGACTCTGGATGTCACAGAAAATTAGATTGCCAAAGTACAGGAAGAGAGGAATCCCTTCACCCCTTTAAATAGTATAAAATCTACATATTCACTACAGATTTGATTCTCTTTCATATCACTAAATCTCTTCCTGAAAGTAATTGCTGAATGAATGCTAAATGTGTTATCTTAGCAACCTCTGGCAGGAGATGATATTTGATTTCATCTCTGAGTTATAGATTGCAGCATATGAATGTTGTTTACCTTTTAAGAAGCAACACCAGTGAAGCAAAGAATCAATCAAAAACAGATCTAAGGAATCACTCATTTCACGTAGAGGATTTGTGGATGGATGAGAAGGCTAGACACCGAGCACCTGAACAGTGAACTAACAGTACTGCAGATAAAAACCAACAAACAGATTAGATGTGATGTATCAAATTAGATGCTGTTAAAGCGTTAGCCTACTGTGCATGTTATAATATACTTAGGAAAAGATAGTGGCCTGCTTACTTATTTCTCCATCTTCCCAAGCAGTTGTGCTGCACTGAGCAGGCACTGCAGCAGTGAGCATGGAGAAGAACAAGACAAAATTAAATCAATTGTTTCCTACATTGCTCTTTCCCACCAATTTACTTCTGACATTGAAAATGCTGTGTCCAGTTGCTACTGGATCTGGGTGAAACTGAAACAGATGACTTCTGCACCCTTCAGTTTCAGACGAACTAACTTTTTTAGAGCACTTGAAGACCCCACTGGGAAGAGGGCTTTCTTGTTGCTCACTGGCTCATCTGATCTTCCTCTTCCCCACATCCCAACAGAACCTATTTCCAGGACTCTCCCGAGGTATCAGTGAAGTGGGCTTTCATGGCCACTAACCTTCCCCCCAGGAGCTGCAGTTGGCAGGTCATTAGCCGATGCCTTGTAAAGGTATTCACATTCCAGAGCAGCAGAGGCATAAGGAGGAATGCAGGAACTGTGTTAGCCCAAATGGTTCCCTATCCCCAGCCCCTGTGAGCAGGCAGGCAGCAGAACGCAGAAGCAGAGGCAAGAACATGCATTTTCATCATTGGCAGTGGAGCAGCAAAAGCTCTGTGAGGTGGGCTCAGGCAGAAAACAGGATGCAGCACCCTTGTTTTTCTCACAGGAATATCTCTCACTTCAAAATAGGTAAGACCAAAGTGTCAAGTTACTTGGGGAGAGGTCTGCAAAGCTGGGGAAGGGAGAGAAAGCGACATGCAGGACAGAGCAGGATGTGCAGCTGGTGTTGCAGGTGTGGTCATGGAAAGGAGAAGGAGAATGGAGGATCATTTCGCAGAGGATACCACATCAGCAAACTTAGTGGCCCTTGTTTAGTTTGTTACATTCCAATTAGTGCCAGGCAGAACTGCCCTCCTGGCTCTCTGAAGCAGCTCTTGCAGGACTCCCACAGAAACAGTATAGCTTTGCTTATGGACACAAGCACCTGTTTGGTACCTCTGTGCGGCAACGTTTGGACATTAGGTACGTGGGCAATACATGCTCAACTGCTACCAGCTCCTGGCCCAAAAAGGAGAGAAGAAAAAGAGTCAGATGATTTCCCAGTCCCTTCCCTTTCCTGTTCTAGAATAACAAGGAGAGCCTGACACGGCTAGGCCCTTCTCTACTGCATGGTAAACTGCCCAGCGAAGGGGAATCTCCATGGGTGAAAAGGATAGGGGCCCTGTGTGCGTGAAAGCACTAACATCAGGAGAGCAAAGTGATTTCCAGTCAGTGCAAGCAGGAACACCTTGCTATACAAGCTGAGGCTATGAGCAGTAGAATGCAGATTAACCACTTGGTTGCCGCTTACCATGCCAGGTACATTGGGCTAAAGGCACCTCCATCCAGTGCTGCCCGACGTGCCAGGTACATCCCATGATGTTCCATTGAAATCACAACAGGCCATCAATAGAACGTGGCTGCACGGATGCAGAATGGAGAACCAGCAGGGACGCTGTTAAATGCAATTAAAAAACTGCAATCAAAATTGAAATGTACATTTTAAAACGGCCACCTGCCTTAAATATGTAACTACTAGAACAACCTCCCCTCCACCCATCTCCCCAGAACTGCTGAACTGCGACGGAAACAGAGCAGAAGGCCTCTGCAAGTTCCTTGATGACTCTCTCTGGCCACCTCCACTCAGGACTCCCAACAGCACTGAGCCTAAAGGGGACCAGTCCATATATATCCAAGAACAGCAGATCCCAGATGTCTGCACCAGCTTCCTTCTGCCCAGAAATTCAGGCAACTAAGTATCACCATTTAGAAATGCCTCTACAAGGAGAAAAGCCTGGTGCCAGAGCTTCATGGTCTGGTTCCCCACCCGGTACAGGCAATGGAAGGAATGCTTCAATGCTGATCCTCTGTGTTGTCCCCATTTCCCTGTCCCCCTTCCCAAGCCTTTGAAACCCTGCTCTTCTAGAGATGTTATGGCATTGAGACCAGGCTGGGTCCTTTGGCTTTTGTTACGTCTGTGGTACAAGACAGGAAAAGAAAATACTGTGTACCCTCTCCTATTTAGAATGATGCTTCACTGATAATTTAATCTACGTTCTTGGAGACTGGAGATCAAGTTGATTCATGGTGAACTGCAGCTGGTACGAGAGTCACAAAACTTAAGATCTATAATTCCACCCTTCCTTACCCAAAGGAAAAAGCAACAACATCTTTTCCATGTCAGGGAAAGGCACATCCCACAGATACACTCAGCTTGTCAAGCCTAGGGTATCCTCTGCAGTGTGTATCCTCCTTCACCCAGAGTTCCTGTAATCAGCTCTGGCAGGATTATCAAAGAGGATAGTGTCAGGGTAGATGCTAAGCACAGGTCCCTCTCTACAAGTGGTGATGCCACCCCAGGGGAAAAAAAAAAAAAACCAAACCAAAAAACCCATGAAAAAACAGAACAGAAATAAACCTGCAGCCTCGCAGGGATTTAAAATAGGATTTTAGATCTTCATGGCAAAGTGAAACTTTGCATAGCTCTTGTCACATTGATGGGTGCATGTCTCCAGCTGTGATGCTGGAGATAGAAATCTTACATTTAAAAAGTTAGAAGAATATTGATTATCATTTCAACCTTCAAAGATAAAAGGCCAAATGAAAAAGACTTACAATAATTAATGTAGTTGGATGAGAGAGAATGTAAAGGAGGACACAGGCCTGGGAAATAGGAAGTGTCTTTGTGAAAAGGACATTGAATGTAAGGAGATCGTTCGTTCTTCCCGGACATCTGCTGGGCTCAGGCCCAGGTCAGTGTTCCCATCACTCCCACCTGCATTCTTTCCCCTACAATTCTGTAACTAAATCACACTAAACTAATAGGTCCTTTGTATTCAGGTCACCCTGTTTTGACTGCTATAGACTGAAGATTTTTAAATCTTGTCAATACAATGAAGAAGTGGAATGTAAGCGAGTGTTTGCTTACTGACCTGGGCTATGCTGAGCCAAGAGCATTTGCTGAACTAGTCTGAACGGACCACTGCCAGCATGAACGGGCCAACCCACATTTAGATAGCGTGCACCTTTAAGCATAATGGGCCAGAGCCCCAGGGATTTGGAGCTCCCCTGTCTCCAAGAGATCACACACTCTAGACTGCACACAAGCAACATACTACAGGCTGCATCTGCCAGCATCAGGACTCTGCAAAACACTCTGCAATACCAGCAATACTCAGCTTAAGAGAGGCTGAATGCTGCATAAAGGTATTTCTTGGACAGCAGCTCAAATGCAGATTTACAGCCAGATTACAGCAATTTGTTTCTTGCTACTGTGAGGCAAGAAGCTCTTCTCCCTAGTTGTATTTCCCCTCTAGGGCAGAGATTAGCAGAGAACTGCCTAAACCAGAGGTGTTTCCTACTGTTAGAACATCACACTGCAGTCAGAAATGAAGCTTCCTGCCAATTCCTAAACAGAGCCCTTGTATATTATACATTTATTTTCACTGCTGACATGAAGGAGCCTAAGACTACCCAAGCCCTTTAGTGGGAGGAGAAGAGGAGAGACATGGTCCTTGCAGATCTTGTCAAGCAGAGCCAGGCACTAAAAATTCCTGCATATCTGCAGAGCACAGTTGATCTCAGGAACACAGCAGTGGCACAAAACAAATAAAGCCTCAGAAGCTAGCGAGCAGCAATAGATGTTGGGCTCTTCTGCAGCCCTACAACAACTGCGCAAGCTCAGTTCCAACTGTACCTGCGTTGCAAGTAGTAAAGGCAGCTCTGATGCCTTATGCTAATCTAACGACTCCTTATTGCAGAGGAAGGATACCCTCTACCTATCCACCAGTTAAGGCCTCTTTGGTATTCAAAATTCCTCTGTTTCCCAGCTACCTTTGAGCCTTGATGTACAGAATTCTCCCTTTACAATGCAAGAATTTAAGACGTGACTAAAGGATTGTTGCTACGTCCCAACTAATCCTAGAGAGTGTTAGGCAGAATCAACAACCCTATGAATTACATAGAGTGAGAAGATGCTTCTGGTCCTAAAAGCCTGGGCCCTGTCCTTCAGTATGGTAGGCCACAGTTGGCAGGGGGTGCACAGGGTGGCAGCTTCATTGCTGAGCATTTCTGTGGGGGCGAGAGGGCAAAAGCACACAGCACGGTGGAGAAGAAGGAACATCGTGACCCTTTTCCAATCGAGACTGTCTTACAGCACCCTCCAAGTTGCAGCACTGGTTTAGGGCTCTGAGTCACCACAGGTACAAGCTGATAGCCAGGTTGTGAAATGCAGCAATACTGGAGCAAATGCATGGCCCTTTCAATTGTCCCTGCAACTGGGGAGGGACCTCCAGGACAGGGATGAGGCAGACAGCTGGGAGTGTTAAATCCACTAGGGACTGTGACTCAGACACCTTAGTTACAGGGTTTGTTAGAGCAAACAGGGCCTCAGAGTACTGGGAGAAATGGGAGAAGGTTTGATAAAGAGCCTCCCAATTGGCCTGCTTATTTTTATTTCTTGTGTGGACTCAGCAAACTTTTCTGCAGAGAGAAGCAGTCTGCACAGGAGCATCTGCATACAGAGTACTGCTAATATCATGAACTTGTTGTAATAGTTAGCATTGAGCTCCATGCTGAGGGGTGCAGGAAGGGCATGGGTAGTAACAGCCTTTGACCAAAATGTCATCTCTCTCACCACATGCCAGATACCAGTGAGCACAGAAACAAACCTTGCTGTCTCATTTTCTTCTGCTCTACAAACCCAACTCTTATTCCCTTATCCATACCTACAGATGCAGCAGTAACAGTTCTCCTTAACATAAATGAACAATGCCTTAAATACAGCACCTTTTGCACTTTATCCACCATTTTTTTTTCTTTTTTTCCAAAATCTGACTATGTACTCAGCCCTGTACTTCCCAGAGAAATCTTTGTCTCTAAGCCTCACTTCAGTGAAGTCTTCAAGCAAACCACTGTTTAAGAGTTGGTCCTGGCAGTATCCAGACTGTACTGCCTGCCAAACATCTCTCCAAATCAGATGCTTAACTGATCACCCTGAACCCTCATCTATTTGGTTCTTTGCAACCACCAGAAAGTGTTTGTGCAACTCTGAGCCTGGCAAATGAGAGGATGCCAGAAAGCCACTGTTGCTTGTAAAAGCAGAAGGCCTAACAGACTCAAAGTTTTGCAGATTGTCTGCATTGCATCCAAATCTGTCCAAGCTGAAGATAACCTAAGGGGAAAGCAGGGTTTACTCATTTTCAAAATTCTTCATTTCCTTGGCTGCCTCTCTTCAATGACTACTTCTCATTTTGACTGTTTTATTCCCCTGTCTTCACCTGAGACTTCAGACTTTCTTTAAATTTAGCTCACAGGCTGCAAGGTCACTCTACATATGCTTCCAAAATCCACCTTTTCACAGCAAGACTCCCATCCTGCCATCCTTATCCTGCAGCACTGCACAACAGTCGTCCAGGGCTGCAGATATCTCATGCACATTTGGCCAGCCTTCTCTGTCAGACAGTTTCTCAGCTCTTGGGATTACAGCCCCAGGTGTGTTATAAAAGGCAGCCCAGCAAGGTCATAGGGTGTTGAAAACTTTGCTACAGTCCAAAGCACAGGATATTCCTTCTTTCCTTCCCTGTACACTATTCTTGTCAAGGTCAAGGATTTTCTGGCAGTCCTCAAAACACACAAATTATAGGCTCTTGTCATGAATCAAGACTTAAAACATCTCTCCGTTTAAAAAAAGCGGAAGGGGAAGAGCAAGGCAGAGGGGAAGGTACTTTTGCCCAAGATTTGGTTTTGAAAAGGGGATTGGCAGTCTGTGCATGTGCTTTACCCTGTAATCTGAAAGCTCCTCAGGACAGGACCCCTAGAAGCATTTTATACTGAACCATATACACACCCCAGAGCAAAAGAACCAGAGGCTCCCCGCATCCGTTCCAGTCTGCTCAGCTTCTCCTAAATCAACACTGCCAGAAGGCAAGACAGCATTATAACAAATTAGCACCACTCACAATTTGTTGAAGTTGCTGTTCCATTGTTTGTTTATTTAAAACACGCGCGTGCACGCACACACACACACACAAACCTCCCAGGCTTGCTCTCTGCTGCCATCACCCAAACTCCAGATTTGTAGTCTCAGAGAGAGAAGCAAGCAAAGGCAGTGGATTAAACCCATGCAGAGCAACAGTCACTGCACTGGGACTCCACCTGGGTTTTGCTCTTTCACTACAAGCAGAACAAAAGAATGCCCACACTGTTCCAGCCTGGAAGATCAAGGTGTCAAAATCCTTATTTCAGCACTTGACTAGGAAAGTGTTGTTAAGAAAACGAAAGAGCCACAGGCTTGAAAGGACCCAGCACTAATAAAACTCTTAGTGCTAATGCTATTTATGAACATCCAAGGGATAATCCACACCCCTTATCAGCCCACAAGATTATAAGATCTTTAAAATAGGAAACATGTCTTACTTCATAAAGCACAGTATAAGTTTACAAAGCACAATATTAGTGGTAATAAATAATTGTCAAAGTCGAGCAAAGAAGTGGCTGTAAAACCTGAAAAAGTACCGCCATTCCCATTTCATTGTGAGCTCTGGGTGGTAATACTATAGTTTGACTGGTGGTTCCAACTTGGTTTACTCTTATGCACCAATCTGTTTTTACTTTAAGAGATTATTTGGAAAATGTGCTACGCTTTTATTTACACTGGAGAAATTCATGTTTTATCATGAGGTGATCACAACAAGATTGATTTTAAAGAGCTGTAGTAGATTCTTATCCTTCCACCAAATACAGTCTAATTTGCCAGCGTGTATCAGTGTGCCAGCAATGATTCCTTTACACAGCATTTCTATCTGTAGGCACTTATCGCACACAGAGCATCCTTGCTATCTGAGCAATTGCTCACCAGTTGCATCATGTAGCCTATAGAGACAGCTTGTCTTTCACTTCTCTTGGTTTACAAGGCATTAAGCTCTGGGCTGCTGCAGGCGTAGTTTAAAGGACAGTAAAGTCAGCATCATCACCTCAAACCCTTACATGCTTTCATTTAGTTATTTTTTTCATTTTAGAGAAATTTTTCTGGTTTATGAATGCTCTAAATGTTTGTGTCTTCTGGCTGCTGTATCGTGTGCTGACAGATAGCTGCATCATCCAAAGCATCTCTGCTAGCCTGGGTTGAGCATGGTTTGGTTTCTGGACAGGTGAACACTAGATACCACAGTTACCTCCACCAGTCTAACAACAATTAAGGAAATTACTATATTTTATACTCAGAGTGAGACCTTTGCATGGAATTCTGTGAGTGCCAAAACAATTACAATTTTATTCTTCAGATAATCTATAGTTTATCAAATGTTTAAATACTGAAGCTTAAGTATTTCAAAAGCTACTCAGTTTACATTTGTCACCTAAGGAATTTGCTAAGCAATTTGTGCATTTATTTCCTGTCAGAAAAAAACCTTAAAGAGCACAGCAGAATGGATCACCCTCCTTCTTTCGGCACTATTAAAACCATCTCATTGGTAACTATTCTCCTTAAGATGGGTGTGGGGGAGTGAAAAGCTGGAGCAGATTCTATTTATAGAAGATAACCTTGGGAAAAACAGGAGGTACCAGAGAAACAGGCATGAGGGGTGAAGTTGTGACAGTACTGAAACTAGCAGGAGACACAGGTGTACCAGGTGTCTGTGCCAGAGAGTTCTGAGAACACAAATGTGGCCACACCTCCTGCAAGATTTAGGCTTGGCTGGCAGGTTTCATAGACACTCCAATGAGAATTCACAGAGACAATTCACATACTTAAAAGCTTGAGTAAGAGTTAAAAAACAAAACAAAACAAAACAAAAAAACACACTAAAAGGCTATTTTAAAAGTTTGCTGGGTCACTTCCCATAGAGCTCTCCCCTCTCAGCAAGGAAAGTGGTTAATGAAAAAACAAAAACCCAAACAGAATCAAAACAGAAAACCCAAAACAGCCAGAGAGACTGAAACCTCCGTTACACAGATGAAACAACTGAGCGGTTTTATAGCTACATAAATAAGATCAAATCTGGCCAAAGGACTAATACATGTACAAACTACTGCTAACAGCCACAGCAAACATTGATACTACACCTTGGACTGGAAGGAAAAAATAGAATTCTTATATCCTTACCATTTCCAGCAGAGCCCACTAATATAACAGCATCAAGAGACTCCCAGAGGATTCAAAACGTATGTTTAGTGAGAATACATTTGGACTTAAACCTCTCTCTTGGGATTGTGCATTCCCATACACCTGTGTCTAGTATCTAGCTGCTTTCAGTCCCTGGCCCTTGGCTGCACATTATTCACCCACATGCAGCTCTGTCACAGAGAAGGGCTGAATAAATTGCAGCATTGTCATGGCACAGTGCAGGTGCTCCAAAACATGCACATCCCGAGGCTCATGAACTTAAGAAGAGATATGCCTCATCAACCTTAGGGATGTTCTGATGCCATCCAGCTTTCTCTGACCCATCAAGTCTGTCCATCTAGGGTTAATCTGTTCCATTCTCCAGGCATTTCCTTGTCAGGCACCTCACTCAAAGAATGTTTTAACAGCAGGAAAACCACCCCAAAATCCAAAACCAAACAATAGTCAACTCCTGTAAAGAACCTGAATAAGTGGCATAGGTGGCATCCTTCTTACCATGAGGTATTCTCCATCATGGATGCTAACATGGCTTTCACGCACGCACCTTCTTTCTCTGCTATCTCAGTGTAAGAAGCCTGACAATAATCCCAAATCCCCAGACCCTTCCAGGACCAGCCATTGCACACACAGACCCATTCCAGGCAATTAAAGTCTTATAACAGGGTATGTAATGTAAAAGCCCATTTAATCTTGTGAAGACAAGAAATAGCAGGGACCTGCCTGTAAAAAAATTAAAAAGTATATAGTAATTCATCAAATTGATTTAATACAGCCAGCTGCATGTGAGAATCCTGGCCCAGGCAGAGATAGTCCCAATAGTATGCATCTGCTTACAAAGAGGCAAGGTGCTTTGGCACAGCTACTGCATCCTTTGAAAAAGTTGGTTTTGACATGTTGGGAAAGGACTTGGATTTTCCAGCTGCTCTCTAAGCAGGAGGCAATTCAGCGAACACACCCAAGACCTGCAGCAGACACCACTCTGAAATTTGTCTTCATTATGTTCTAATTTTCACACAACTTTCTGTTATTTGCAATAGCCAGAAAAAAAAGTGCTGATGAAATTTTTCATGTTTTGAAAAACAGAGGAAAGGTCAGGAAAGCACTGTTCCGCATAACTTGTTCTTTCTCTAGCAGTAGCCATCGAGAGTGCTGGGCCAGGGTTTACTGCTCACATTTTCTCTGTTATTCTTGAGCCAACAAATCAAATATGGGTGTCAGGTTTGGTGGGTTTCAAAACAAAAGGTGTAGTGGAAGGGGGATTATTGTGGGGGTTTTTTAAAGACAGTTATTCATAACAAATAGTGAAATTGCTGAGAAATTAATTCTGCTTTGCCATCTTGCAAATATTACTTCTTCCCCCCAGAAGAGACTGGGTCACTGAGAGATATGCAAAGCTTCAGGCAGGGCTAACAACTGTCCTGAAATTTACTGAGATGCCCAAAAATGACCAATGAGTTTGGGTCTTTCAATGGGATGAATGGCACAGTAGAAATTCTTAGTCATGCTAGCTTTCTTCATATGTATTTTTTATTATTATTTGTATAAAACTTTAATTATAAAAGACAAAAGTATGGTTATTATAAGGTATGTAAATTACACCAGAACTTCAGAGAGGAGTCCCAACTCTGACCTCCTCTCATGTGAAAGAAAGGATATTACAATCCACTTTTTTCTTTAACTTAATTTTTACTTTCCTGGAAGTATGAAAAAGCATTTATGTTCCTTTGGTTTTTAATTTGTCATATTATTTAAAGGACTTAGTGAGGAATCTAAAAATCTGCAGAAGGGTTTGTTGCGGGGGGGGGGGGGTAGAAAGAGAAAAGCCTCATAAAAACAACCCCACCTCCTCCACACACAGGGTTTGTTCCTCGGCTGTACCTGCACACTAATGCCCTTTTGCCTCCCCATGAGAGAAACAAATCCAAAAGATCTGGGATAAAAGGCCTTGGAGACACTGCACTCAGTTGGACACATGGCGGGGTGGTGCTGGGAAGCAAGGAAACAGCTGAAATTATATGGGAATAACAACAACATTCATAGAAGTTCCCCTTGGATACGTGTCAGCATGTGGGAATGATGGATTAAGATTGAGCATTTGCATTTCCCAGTCAGATGCCAAGATATCAAAGCTGGCACGCTAAGGTGTTCTGGCGTTCCTTGAAGGGAGTCTCCAGCCGTCAACACTGCATGTGTATAGAGCTCTTCTGCTTGCAAATATCTCTCTCTCTAATAGCACATGCATTTTTAATTTTTCTAAAATATGTGATCTAGGTTAGTGCTCATAAAAGTGAAGGATTAACAGCTACAGCGTAGTACAGGCAGCTGGGCAAGCTCTGCTGACAGATCCCTGCCAACACAATCAACCCGAAATTAATCCTGCACTGTGCTCCCACACACACACAGCAAGCAGGTAGTGCCATGGTGCCAACTTCTTCAGTCAACATGTAGGAGCGAAGAAGTGCCATGTTATTACCTCTTCTTCTAAAGGCCGCGTAGAGCATTTTAATCTTTGCATACAGTGGGCCCATAGACACCTGAAGAATTAGAGTGCAGGACTGAATCCTGTCAGGCATGGTTTTTAAAATAAGATGTAGCACTTCTGCATCATTGCCCTCTACAACAGACTTCAGTGCTTTTATGCTTCTTTTTCTTAAAGCCAGCATTAACATTGCCAGTGGTACATTATTTCCCATTATTTTTCCATCTGGAAGAAAAAAAACCAAAACCAACCACACACCAAAAAACCTCCAAAAAACAAACCGCAGAGAAATAGATCCATCATTGCAGATGATGAGGCATCATGATCTGTTTTAGCCCATCCAAGTCAGGGCCACCACTGAAAACGTTAGGTCTTGCCCTCTTCCTGCATCAGCCCTGGTCTGGCTCAGCCTTACAGCCTCATGGTCTTCAGGGGCAGTGCAACAGAGCAGGCAGCAAAGCACAGCCAAGGACCAGGAACACTCATCAAAGCTGGCTGTAAAGCTAAATCCCATGTGTCAGAGGTCACAGTAGTAATTGAGGATTGCGCTTCAAACTCTAAAACATCCTCCAGGACCCAGGAAGGCTGCTGGCAATAGGTGAAAGATGGTGATGAGACAGAGGAACAATGAAGAAAAAGTTCTTGCGAATTATTTCTGACACTGCGTGGTGCATGTGCAATGAGAAGATGGAGCAGAGCAGCACTCGGACCAGGAGGAGCTTCTCTCCCACAGAGGGAGGGACAGAAGGAAATACTCCTGCCTGCCTTTGGGCCTGAAATTCTCCTCTCCGACACCCCAGTTTGCATAGTCAGAAGTGAAATCAATGCCTAACTCTGCGAGATGCTTCCTCTTTGTAATGATCTCCATTTCTAGATGCTTAATAATTGTTAACTTTCTCCCTTGGAATTTTGTAACAGCCCAACAAGAATGAAAGTTTAGAGGTTCTTCTGAAAGTCCCCCAAATGCATCAGAAACTGGAATCTGCTGCAGGGCTGCAGTACGTTGTCTCAGCAGATTCAGTGGGTAACGAGGTCTTCTGAAACAAAGTGTAATAAGTGTTTCTGCCTGGACTTGCCAAAAGACCTTAATGCAAATACAACTCCAGGAAAATTAGGGTGGACTCTAGTGGCTGCCTCCCCCTCAGGGTTTTTGTTGGGTTTTTTTTTCCTTCAATCCTGATGAAATTCATTACAGTTGTATTTAAACTGAGGTTGTGATTTAAATTTTCCAAAGCAGGCAGGGCAGGTTTGAAAGCCTGATATATCAGAGTTTATATGCTTCCTGAAGAACTAGGGTAGTTGCAGAGCCTTCCCCAAGGGGTGCCTGGTTGGTCCCCTCACCCCCTTGACATGTTTGCAGTCACACAGGCCACTGGATTCCTGGCAAGTCGAGCAGGCTTGCTCCTTACAACCAAGCAGCCCCGCATTCAAGCATGCCAGTACTTTCCTTGAAGGTATTTACAGTTTACTTTTTAGTGCTACTTTAAGTTCAAAGGGGCTAGTAAAGCCCCATTAAGCCATTTACATCAAACTGGTTAGTTAATTATCCTGTTGCAGGCTTTAAATTAGCAATTTATAACCCCGTCCCTAGAGATGCCAGTATTTGGAAACAACTCAGCTGGGACATTTTGCAGGGTGCAGTTAAGGAACAAAAAACCCCACTAAACACAACATCCCCCCACCCCCCCAAATAAACCCCACAAACAAGCCAGAATAAATCTCTTCAGTTTTTGGTTGGAAATCAGTTAACTCTGGGAGAATCCAGTAGGGACTGGCGTGGGAGAGCGCCCACCATTACCAGCTACCAAGGATAGTGAGGCCATGTCTACCTTAGGTTATGTCTGTGCAGCAAAATGTGGTGATGTGCAGAGGTACAAAGCCAGCCTGGAAGGCACCACAGCTAGACGAGAATGATGCTTCCCTTACAATGAGATATTCTGCTTCTTAGTATCATAATCAAAGGTATTTTCACATTCATATGTACAAAAATGTGTCTGCCCACAAGGAAGGAAAATAATTTGAGGCTTTGGGGCTGGTCAGACTGTGAATGCCAGCGTACAGGGACTAAAGAGGACTGTGGGTTTTGGTCAGCACCTCTGCTCACCCGTGCAGGCGACGAGGCTCTTTCCACTGCAGCTATCTTTCAGGTTAGGATTAACAAGATTTGGATTTATAACCCCTTGCCATAAGGGTCAATGACCTGCTCACAGTAAGCCTACCCCATGGGCCAGGTGAGGCTGGAGCCAAGGAATCTCCATTCCCAGGATCTTCTCCCCTGCCAACAACATTTCATTTCCGAGAAGGAAAATCTGTTGTCCCCTCAGGGTCTGGTTATTCCAGTCCACCCCACGCAGAATTCAGAGCTTTTATAGAAGGGAATAATAATCACCTTTCCCCCTAAATACCTAACTGCCCAAACTAACCAGGTCCTAGAGTAAAACATGCCTCTCATCTTCTCTTCCTTATTTCCACCAGCCATTATTAGTTCAACAAAACAAAAAAAAAGGCATACTGAATTTTCACACAACAGTCTATCAGGTACAGGAGAAATCTTGGCCCCAATCCTGGAAGCTGTCCCAAACCAACAAGAACTGCTCACCAAGAGCAGGAATCCATGGAAAGAAGGGGCATGTGGAGTGAGACCAAGGCAAACTAGGAGATTCCACATTAACATCAAAAAAAGGCACATAAAAAAGAAGTTTGAGAGAAAATTTTCCATTCTACTTGAAAGACAAGACAGACAGATGGAATCAAGTCATATGACAGACCCCGCGATTTTTTTCCTCCATCTTAATACAACCCCTTTTCAATGGCAAAAAAAAAGATCTTCTGCCAAACAAGTGTCAGATTAACTTGAAAAGGAGATAAAAATCAAAGCAAGTTAATTTCTTTATACTACACACCATGAAATTTATTTCGCATTTGCTTGCTTTTTCCTCTGTATGGAAAGTAGCCATTTCACAACAAATTTTGGGATGGGGGGGCAGACGGGAAGGAGAGAGGGAAAGACGCTCAGAGATTTCAAACCAAAGGGACAAAATATTTTTGTACAAAATTTGGTAAGATGACACCACTGTTATGTGATTTACTGCTGCGAATTGCAAGACAGAGGCCTTATAATAAAAATACAGGTAAACACAACATAAAATCTAAATTATCTAAAGGACTGAAAAACCCAGCCCCACACATAGATGACATTCTCCAAATTCTCTGCCCTTTCTTGGGAGCAGTTACACCCAAACCATCACTCAGCCCAGAAGCTGTTCTCTCCTGCTAATCACTGTAGAATCACACACTAAGGTAAAAAAAGTTCAAATGCAAACACTAGACTGGCCTTTGAAACAGCCCGGTGCTAACAGGCCACATGATTGCATAATATTAGGGAATTATAAAATAATGTGAAACTGGGAAGAAAGAAGAAAGCAAAGCCCTCCTGTGGATGAAATGGGAGTCTTTCCTGCTCCACCAAAACCTTCCATTTCCAAGGCATGCAATACCCGGGCCTGTGCCTAGAACAGGTGTGTCTCCTTAAATACCTCACATGTCACACTTGTGTCTCATGGATACAGTCCTGCGGGATTATATTAGTACCAGTGCATACCAGCTGTAGCTACCCCCAGCGGTATCCTGTAACTCCTTGCACGGGGGGAGCTGCCCTCCACAGCATGCAGAGCCCCTTGCCACATGACTTTCTGGAGACAGACAGCAACCCTGCGACTGCAGCTTCAGAGCATTTGTGCTCTGGGGGCTGAACCAATTCAGGGACGAGCAAAAGACCTCCTCCAAGAGCAGGAACGAAGCACTGCCAAGAGAAGCGAACGGAGGACTCCAAGTATTCTTTTCTTTCCCTCCTCTGCGTTTATTACCAGCAAATTCTCAACTGATTTATGCCAAATAGACACTCTGAAGATCTCCGTTAAATAAAAAAAGATGCACGGCTAACAGAGCAAAGTCCACTCAGCCATTCCCAAGCAGAAAATGCTGACAGGGCACAAGGCAGATATGGCTAGTGCAGGATGAAGGAAGGACAAAGGAGAGTGAGCCTCATACATCTCTAAGTCAGTGCAGGAGGAGACACCCCTTGGCAATTTCAACCTAATTCTTCACTAAGCCTTGGAGGATACTAGCTGCTGGCCGAAGCAGCTGAAAGAGCCAACAAGAAAATTTTCAGGGCAGCAAATGCATTAATAGCATTTTTTCCATCATATCTTTGTGACTGGCACAGATAATAAATAGAGAAGAGCTACTTGGTTGAGCTATAGCTCTGCATCACAATACAAAGGTGTTCTTCAGCATGAAGAAGAACTGCTCCCATGCCACCCATCTCACAAAAGGCATCTTGTAGTACTTAACAGGGAGCCGGAGCACCGATGGATGTGAGAAGCTGCTGACCAGCATGCATGGCCTCAGAGGTAGAGGACCACAGGGCCCTGTAGAATCCTTCTGTCTTATTCCTCCTTAATAGCACAAGCACCTTCATTTTTCAGTGAGTGATTCTTGCAGCAGTTTTTAGGAGAGAGAGTACACGAGTGAGAACGCACGCACCAATCTTGATGAAAAGTCTAATTTATGAGGAATCTACCACATCCGTAAGTTATTTCACTGGTTAATTAATTCAGATTTCCAGGTTTGAGCACACATCAGGTTTGTCTGCTCATCCCTACAGTAAATAGCTCCAGGCATCACAAGCAGCCGTCAGGGATGAAGGCAGTGCCAAACTAAACGTTCTTCTGAAGTGGCGTAGGTAGAACTGTTTCAGTCCACCTCTGCTTTATAACTGCTCGAGGGCTGAGTGATACAGTGGGTTCAATGAACCCCAACTCATCAGTCCAGCGCAAGTCAGAAGCAAAGAGAAATTCTCACATATCTACATCCCAGTCATCTGTTCATCTCACTGGCCATCTCTGATCAAATGAGTGCAGAATAAGGCCGTTCCATGATACTTCATTCTCAAACAAATGAGCAGGACCCCAAAGCCGCCAAATCCATCTACCCCTAGGAACATGTACACTTCTTACTACTGGCATTTCTTATTTTCAAGAGGTCTCAAGTCCATAGCGATAAAAATCAGGATTAACTGCCAGGTGAACTCTTACTCTTTAACCAACAATTTATTACACTGGGTCTTTGATTATCAAGCAAACATCTGTTGCAAATGCCACGCCATGTTCTCAGACACCAGAAGTTTAAATATTGAACAGTCCCCCATAACCAAGATTTAGCATCTTTACGTTTTCTTTATTCTTTGCCAGCGGAAGCGTTAGTGACCTCCTGGCCAGTTAGCAGCCAGCCTGGTAAGAGCACTGAACTTTACACATTTGTCATGAGATCTTAGAATATACATTGTCACGTCTTTCTCGAGCAACTTGAAACCAAATCACAAGAGCAGGTCTGTGTCCCCAACAGACAAATGAAGGCCCAGCTGTATTTCATAACTGTGCAATATACATGATGTGCACTTCCAGAAACCTTAGTGACACATCTAATGCAGAAACACTTATTTAAGAACCTATTTAAAGAAAATCCCCACATTTAGTACAGGAGTGCAATCATTCTCTTCATTTTTCCACAAACATGTTTCAGACTTTGGGAAAACCAGG